AGAGAGAGAGAGAGAGAGAGAGAGCATGTCTTGGATGAAGCTACTGGGCGAAAAAGAGAGAGTATAGTCTAGAAGAGAAGGGAGTGTAGGGTGGGCTGGAAGTGGGATTGGGAGTGTTGGATAAAGAGAGAGTGAAAGAGTGTATAGGATATAATATTGACAGATGGAGAGGAGAGCATAACAGGTGGATAAGAGTGAGCGATGTAGAGTCAGAAATGGGGATATGAGACTTAGGGAATGAGATTAATGGTAGAGAGTGACTGTTTAATGATGAGTTAAAGCAAGGAAAGTGGGAGTGTAATGGATTATATCGGATTGGATTTGAATGAAGGTAACCAGAAATGTACAGAGAGAAAGTTTGAGAAAGAGATGGGGGATGGAGGAGAGTTTGAGGAATAGATTAAAAAGAGGGACAAAAGAAAGAAAGTGGTATCAGCTTGCATGATGTGTTTCATTTGTGCCTCCGGCATTTCCTTCTTTTGCCAATGCATCTGCGGCCTGGTTTGCATGTGTACAGATGTGGTGCAATGTCACCCTCATTTCCATGCAAATGAGGCCTCAAAGGGGCTCATGCACTGACATTGCTACTGTTCCCACTAAAACATTCTCCATAATGCTGAAAGGGCTTAAAGAAACCCTTTGAGGCCTTCTGGGATTGCTCTTGACTCTGCTATGGTGGAGTCCATGATACCCATGAATTGTGAGAATGAGAGTAGCAGTTCTCCAAAATGGTCTCTAAGTATAACCCTTATACCAGCTCATCCCAGGTTGCCCAAGGAGCCACCATTTACGTTAAGCCCAAGTGTCCCTAGTTTTGGGGGGGGTCCACAGGAAGTAATTGCTTGCCTCGGTGAATTGGTAATAGAATATTGTTTGGAACTGCTGAGGAAGGTTGGAAGGGATATATCCTCGAGCACCCTCTTACTTCTGCCTGGGGGATACTTTTTGACTTGATTTGGTTCCATTGGTTATAGAGGGAGGTATTAGTGCCTTGGAAAGTGCATCTATTCCTCTCTTTCCACAAAGATCTTATGGTAGCCATCACCGAGACCCCCCATAATAATGTGGCAATCTTGGGGTAGGGTCGGGATGGGAAAGCTTAGAATAGTTGGGTGATGGACTCATGGAAGGCCCATAGCCAATCAAATTACTTAAAGGAGTTTGGACTGTAGACTAGAGGCTACTACTCTAGTCTACTGCCCAGTGCAAGCATAGTTACTCCAAGTTTTCATCTCCATCCAGCACATAATGCATTTGTTAGTTAACTGTATGCCGCTGCACTGAAATAGATCCACTTTAAGGGTTTTACACAACAGCGCAATCCATTGGAAGCCTTGAACCTTATGTGGCCCAAGCTTTGCTCGAGTCTGGGGGCCTAATGGTTTCAGAGGATAGGACGTTGAAGGATGAGGATCCAATAAAGGTCCCTGGGGGCTGAGGGTGCCCAAACTAATCCTATCAGCTCTTCAAAGGAAGGAAGTGGTATTCGAATTCTAGGAGCATTTCGGCTAGACTCTCTGCTTGTGCACTGCTGAGGGGTCTCCTGAATGTAAGAGTCCATATGAGGGCTCCCTTATTCCTTTCCACCACCCTAGAGATTGTGATGTCAGGACCTTGGGCAACAATTAGAAGTGCGGG